ATAGTCGCAAATACTACGCACTTTTCTCTCAGTGTATGCAACTTATACCGCGCGTCCCTCTAGCGAAGACATTCCGAACCACTTCACTTTTGTTTATTTACCATTTTGTTCCTTTACCGGGTGATTAGTAGGGTGGATGATAGAAATGTACTTAAATTTACTATTATTGCGTCAGTATTTACTATATAAAAATAGTTAATTAATTTACTATTCATTACCTGGATATTTTAACAGAATAATAGTTAAAAGTTTATATTTTATAGTAATTCTTAGAAATAGTTGGCATCACTGTGTCTATATGGTTGCTATTACTAATAATATAGCAATAATTACTATAAAAATAATATTCCTGACTATAATTATTCTACTATACAATTATAGTTTGAAATACTACATATTTTTCTATCAGTGTAAGAATAGTACAAGAAAGCCTCTTTCAAAGAAAAGATAAGTAATCTTATATGAATGTACAAACCTATCCCTATTTATAACACCTTATGCTGTTTTCTTCTTACGAGAAAGTCATATACCGCGCGTCCCTCTAGCGAGGACATTTCGACCACTTTACTTTTGTTTGCCATGTGATTAGTAAAGTGGGTGATAGAAATGTTGTGAAATTTACTATTATTGTGATTGTATTTATTATGTAAAAAGAATTAACTAATTTACTATTTATTACCTGGATAGTTTAACAGAATAATAGTTAAAAGTTTATATTTTATAGTAATTTTTAGAAATAGTTGGCATCACTGTGTCTATATGGTTGCTATTACTATACAAATAATATTCCTGACTATAATTATTCTACTATACAATTATAGTTTAAAATACTACATATTTTTCTATCAGTGTAAAGAATAGTACAAGAAAGCCTCTTTCAAAGAAAAGATAAGTAATCTTATATGAATGTAAATACAAACCTATCCCTATTTATAACACCTTATGCTGTTTTCTTCTTACGAGAAAGTCATATACCACATACTTTTCTATCAGTGAAACTCATCGCAGCGTACACTGAGAGAAAAAATAGTCATTTTTGGAGCCAACCATATTTTTTATAATTCCTCCAACGTAAATTATGGTTGACCTAACAATGTGATAGTTCTCATAACCACAATATTGGTTGTCTAAACCAAAAATATGGTTGGCTCCAAAAATGACTATTTTTTTTCTCTCAGTGTACGTTTCTACTATTTGTATCCTTTAAATCGCCGTTTGTTCTTACGCCATCGCAAAATTACGCTTCACTTTACAAGTTTATTTTCCGAAACTTGCGCCGAGCGCGTCTCTTCATTTCTGTGCTAACTTTTTATATGAAATTTTAACGCTTTGAGAAAAAATTTCATGCTGCGAAGTTCCCGCGATAAATATGCACGGTTGCCCGGCGCACGCGGAGGTGGCGTATGAAGTCAAAGCACGCCGCTAACTTATTTTTGACATAGACGCCACATACGTGTTTCGAATCAATGATATGTCACCGTGATCGATATCGCGGGACGAGAAACTTTCGCCTTTTGTTCCCCGGCGTCTAAGAGGTAGCTAAGACGCGATGCCTCCTCCAAAGACGTTTCAATAAAAAATTCTTTCCCGCGCGGTAATCTATATCTACAGCACCGTCGGATCACCCATCCCCCTTTCAAACGCCTGTAAAAGCATTCCGAGGAATGTCGTTTTGAAAGGAATCTTCGCGAGCGGCGTTACTCTTCAGTGACAGTTTCACCGGGATCCGCGCTTTTAGCGAAGTTGCCCGAATGCACGATCAATACTTATTATCGTCTTCCTTCTCCCATCCAGAGCGGCGGATGCGACGGGATAACTAAGTGCGAGCACGACTGATAACCAATTCCATGAAAATTTACTTTCCCGTCGTCCCGCTATTTTGTAATCGCGACAACCTTATCATAGGGCGGAATAAAAGAGCGTTAACTGTGACTGGGGGCGGTGAACCGTTCGCAATGAATATTCCCTGCGTCTTATTCACCGCATTCGACAAACTTTCTCCCAACTCGGGAGCGTCAAGTTTAATTCGAGCAACATTAGCGAATGTAGAACGTTTTGTGTGAACTCTTACTCGAGGTGACGCGAAAATGACTCCACACCGACGAATTATCTGCGCGAGAATACAATCCCAGGCGACGGGAAAGGGTGGGAAAGATCGCGGATGTGCGGGAGCGAGCCTGACTATTGACGCGAATCCCCAGCGTGAAAAATGTTGAAACTTTTCGTAAAACTTCCGGTAAAAACCTGGCTGCGGGAGGTAGGAAAGATCGCAGGGTGGAGGAGCAAAGTGGAGAGGGTGGTACGGGGCATAGGTGGAGCAATGGTACATCAAGCCTCGCGTTTTACAGGTCTCCAAATCGAACTCGCACGACGTAACATTGGTCAACGTGTCCAGGAACCTTACCGGGATATACAAGTGCGAGGTGTCAGCGGGCAGCCCATCCTACCACACGCTGATCGAAAAGGACAAGATGGAAGTAGTCGGTAAGTACGTGCGCGTGTCGGCTGTTGAAAATTTCTTTTTCAACTTTTTTTGCCCCGGCCCAAGATAAATCGCTCGTCCCGGGATTGTCCGAAATACACTGGCGTTCCACGTTCGTCTCGGCACTCGATCCCGAAGCGGCGATACGTATCGTAAAGCGCAATATGGGGATCAACAATCGGCTGTAATACCGGATTTAAGCAAAATCGATGTGCCCTGTAACGCACCAATAAGATATATCGTCCATTTCCAATAGACAAACTGAATCTATGCTTCCTTTCCCCGATACTCTTGTAATTCCCTTTGACGCACAATCGAATTTTTATTCTATTTGAAATGTTATACACACATGTATTTGCTACATTTCCTGAAGCTTTACGGAACATGCTCGGATAAGTCAAGATAATATTAATATTAAGTTCTCAGAAAATTAATGGGGATTCTAAAATTGTATACGTAAGATAGGATATTTACGTAAAGGTATCGGGTGATTTGGATTCTCGAACTTTGCCAGTCGCGATCACATTGGTGCAACGTATTTTATATATTGGCAAACTAAATCCATGCACTGAGAGAATTTTTATTAATTGACTCTGAAAATTATGTAATCGTGGGCATTTCGAAGAATTTTATGAGAGTGTCTTGAAATTTTACTATCGAGAGACACAGTAGTGTCTTACGCCAAGTATCAGCGTAGCGAATACCACGCACGCGAGACTGACCGTGTATCTTTACGCGAGTACGCGAGTTGAGAGGCCTTCAAGACTATTGGATCTCAGTAACGACTGATCCGATCGACTTCTAAGTAAGCTCAATCGATACCTTGAGTGCGATTTGCATAACAAAAGTGATTTTATTTTTCGCCTACGTGTCCTACGTGCGGAGATATCGCGATACATTTTACTAGGACATAAATACATATATGGTAAATATATTTAATTTCAAAAATCTCTAACAAAGGTTTTCAAAATACCATCTTGTCCCATGATTACATGATTTTCAGGGTAAATTATGTAATGAAAATCGTGTAATCGTGGGACAACGTGGTATTTCGAAGAATTTTATGAAGTTCTTGAAATTTTACCATAATGTATTTTTACTAGGTAGTTTTACTAGTAAAATGTATGGCAAAATTTCAAAAAATTAACAAAATTCTTCAAAATGCTATGTTTTCCCACGATTACATGATTTACCCTGAAATTCATATTTAACTAGTAAATTTATTAGTTAATTTAAGATTTAGCCTGAAAATCATGTAATGAAAATCATGCAATCGTGGGACAACACGGCGTTTTAAAGAATTTTATGAGAGTTTTCTAAAATTTCCCCATACATTTTACTAGTAAATATATAGTAAGCGTATTTAATTTTAAAAAAACTCACAAAGTTCTTCATAAATGCCATGTTGTCCTACGATTACATAATTTACTCTGAAAATCATGTAATCGTGAGACAACATGGCATTTCGAAGAATTTTATGAGAGTCTTTTGAAATTTGACTATACTATATACATATATGGCAATTTTACTGGTAAAATGTATAGTAAAATTTAAAAAAGTATAAAATCTAATTGTATGGTAAAATTTAATTTTACCAGTAAAATGTATGATAAAATTTCAAAAAATCTCTCACGAAGTTCTTCAAAATGCCAGATTGTCCCACGATCGCATGGTTTTTAGGATAAATTTTAAGCGAAAACTCTCTCCGTGTGGATAGAGTTTTGTTTCTGGATTATAAAAAGTTTACCATGATAATCAAAAACATGATTACATATATTAAATCATTTTAATTATCACAGTAAATATTTCACCGCGATTCCCTTAAGAATTTCCATTTCTGAAGGAGAACGTGTTATTATTTGCTGACCATTACACCCAGCTGTCTCTGGACAAGGGAAAATGTCGTATATCAAATAAGCACATACAGCTTCCGTAGCGATATCACGACGTGACATAAATTACAAATTATTAAACAAAATGCACGGCGGTGGCGGCGGCAGCGGCGGCGGCGGTGCCGAGGGACACGTTGGAAACACTAGCCCTAGTCGTCGGTACCGGGCATGACGGGGTCGTTGTTCAAGTGTTTCCGGTACGCCCTGAGACGCCCCCGGCGCCGTTGGCGTGTCGCCAGGTGTCGAGTTAGTGCCGTGGCAGCAGTCGCATGTGCTAAACGACATAATTATTATGCCTTAGACGCCCCAAAAACGGATCCTGTGATTCGTACCGAGAAGGAGCGCATAGCAATGGGCGAGACGCTACGGGTGAACTGCACCTCAGGCAAATCCCGGCCCGCCCCCAGGATTCAGTGGAAGCTCAACGGAAATACCGTAAGTATCGCCTCGCCCAGCCCCTCGCTACCCCTTATCCCATATACGTCTCGACGTAGTCGTAGAGCTACGTGACCTTACTGGATGATTAGAGTTGCGCACGGCGAAGGACCTGAGGATCGCGCCTATATTCCATTCTGTTTCGCCCCGTTCCATTACGTCAATCTCGTTGTTCCTATCGCTCGCACTCGAGGCTTCTCTCCCCGAGACCGCACCGATATCGGGATACGCGGCGTATCGCGGGATTTACACGAAAGAATACGCTCGACACGGCACGGCGCTTCCAGCGAATTTGGCGTCACGTAACACGATTTTGCATGCAAATTGATCAATTATCTCTCGCAGAGGGGAATAGTCGGGTTGGATAAGGAAAGGAAGTGATTGCATAGGGAATCTTTGAAAATGCAGCTCAAAAATTGCAAAATTCAATGGCGTAGCTGTTACACCAGCTACACACAGAGGTAGCTTCGCGTCACGTCACAAAAACTACCTCGTTGCGGACGGCAAGCGAGGCGAATTTCGACCCAAAAAAAATGGAGGAACGGAATTTCGCAGAGCTCCGGCACGTTTTCAATCTGTAAAAAGCCATCGAAATATGTTATTCGTGTTTCATATAAACTCTGATATCCCCAGTTTACCGTCATAATTTAATATCGAAGTTTAATAAAGGATGAACCATAGTTGCTGTCACTTTGGAACATTCTGCGCACGTACGCATGGCCGACAGGATTGTCAATAAACTAAATCCATGGGTGGAATTTTGTTTCTGGATTATTAATCTGTTTCGACGTTAATTAAGATGGCGCGAGACATGACCGATCGTTTTGTCAGTAAATTATTTTCCGACGAGCACAATCTCTCTTTAATAACTACACATTTACTGTTCTGTATGAACATGATATCCGCTTTTTGAAAAAAAAGATCTTTTTTCCTGCAGATTTTTGTTTTCTTTTTATTTTATGCTGGTCTCATTTTGCATACATATATTTATTGTAGAAATCTTGTATCAAGCAAATATTGTCGTCAAGTGTAGCAAAAATTAGTGAAAAATTTAATTTTTTTCCGTTTTTGATATAAAGTCAACCAGCATAGTCTAGATTTTGCTGCGTATTTTGATTCCGTCGAAGAGTTTTGCATTTCTGTAAAGCCAATCACACGATTACTTCTAACAAAGAGTGTCGATAAAACAGGCGGCTTTAGGACCTCCTTAATCTCGTGTAATATCTAACAATAAAGCCAACGGCACACGATACTATTTTTCCTACTGGATTGCTTACGAGAGCCAATCAGGACGCAGAGTTTTCGATCAGGTGACTCAAAGCTGAATCCTGGTTGGCTCTCGTAAGGAATCCAGTAGGAAAAATAGTATCGTGTGCCGTTGGCTTAAGTTGTACGAAAATTAATTCATACCGTAGAAACGAAATAAAATGGTTTTTTTTTCTTCTGCGCAAGAGCACGCTGTGAAGCATACAAAATTAATTCGCGAAAGTTAGAATTTCGCGCTGCAACACGTCTGATTTCCATCGTCGCTTTACAGCGGCCGCGCGAGAGAATTATCATTTAAATGTTCTGATATTTTGAATACATTTTGCATACCTGCGTGCAAATACCTTTTGTACCTCGTACACAATAGCGTTTAAGTTATCATATACATTTTTTTTCAATCACCGTGACGTCTACGATATATTCAGGTTTGTACGAAATGTTTCGCGCACGATTCCTCGCGCGAAACACGTTCGATCGAATCACCCGCGCAACAAAGCGCGCATATATTCGTTATTAATAAAATTGTCACCGTAGATATAAGATGGGGCTCGCTTTATCGCTGTTCGTTACGCGTGTGTTTCCGCGCAAAAGACACTCCTCTCCGCGAGTTCTACCACGAAATTCTCGCGGACATTCAAGAATCCGCACACGCACAACTCGACATGACGAAAACATTAATTAAAGGAAAAGTTCCATAACTCGTGCGCGTATACGTTCGTTTGTCTGGTGCCTCGTACTGTTGTAACAGCTTATTAGTGTTGCTGGACGACCACTTTGGGTAACGCAAACGAGATACGTGCGTGCTGTACGATCGCGTGATTAACTATAAAGACGTGCCGAGCCTTTCGTTCTATAAAGTAGATAAATCTCGAGGTACCTTCAAGTAGGGAAGCTTCGTACGCTAGTAATCTGTAGAGCTCTCCTGTTGAGTGCAACGTCAGACGAGCTACGATCGCGTACCGAGAGTAACAGAACACAAAAAAAGGCAAAAAGGGGGAGGAGAGGAGTGAAAGACAGGCGGAAAGAGGATTAAGCGTATAGTTGCTCATCCGTATTTCTGCAATCGTCGAGTGCCCTATGTATCGATCAGTGAAGTTTCATCCTTAACGCCCCAATTAAATGTTTCAAGTGTACCTGTCTCTTTTTCTATTTTCCACCTCTCCTTTCTATTTTCCTCTCCCTCTTTCCTCTCTTTCTCTCTTTCACTCTCTCTCTCTCTCTCTCTCTCCCCCTAAATTATATCCCGTTGAATTTTCTCCAGGATCGGCATTAACTGCGTTAACAAGTTACACCGTTGCGTACTTCCATTCGCAGTATTTTATGGAGCTGCTGCTTTGTGACTTAATTTAGCTTTAATCGCATTGCCATAACTAACGGCAAATTCCAGGCATTTAAGAAAACAGAGTCTCGACATTTGTACTATTTTGTATATACATATATATACAATACATATAATAGAAACTGCATCGAGTGAAATGGTAAAAAAAGGAAAAGCCGATATCGCAGGCCTTTATCTTGACGAGCGGATCCATTGCTTTCGCAGAAAATACCATTGGTTTAAATATCCAGGGCACGGGAGGCGCGATATTTTCCACTGAATATTCGTTTTCAGAGGCCAGGCGCTTTGTTTTTGAACGAGCAGATTTATGCTGTCCTTTGACACTTTTCATTCTGACGATTGAAACGGCGTAACTCACTTTCGGCCGGTGAAACTGGGAAAACGTCAGCACGGCGAAACGACGGCGCAGCGATTTAACGGAATAATTTAGTTGATTTAACGAAAACCGCGAAATAACAATTTATTTGCATACCAGGCATCCGTACCCTTCAGCCATGTGCGAATGTATCCGAACGAATCTTGCTGGATTTGATTTCTACCGCCTCGAATGGGGATTTCAACGGTCTCGCTCTGGAAGATAATCCTTGTAATGGCCGAAAATATTGGGAGCGTACGCGTTGTAAGAAATTAATATGACTCGTCAATTATTAATCGATACGGCCAAGTATACATGTATGTGAATAATAAAATGTCTTCAAATTTTTTATGATTGCTCTCTATTTAATATTACACTTCTCGTAATATATGCGCATTCTGTTTAATATCTATCTACACTTCTGCGCGCGCGCGCACACACGTAATAATTTGCATTTAATTTGTATAAATAAAATGTTGGTTTCCTAATTAATTATACTATCTGCTAACTTTATTCCTTGTAGAACGTTGTATTTTACGTTGAAACCACAGAAAAATGATTAGATCATAAAATCATACTACGAAGATAAAAAATTGTATAAACAATAATTATTTAACAAATAAAGTATTATTAATATTGTGCGAATTGTACTATCGCATCCAGTTTGCTCATTAATTCACTCCTTTACCGCGACAAGTCATAATGAAAAATATACAGGGAAATGTTTTTATGCAGTTTTTATGTAACAGAGTAAAGCGCTAATCGTAATCATAAATTGAATCGAACCAACAAAAATTATAATAAAAATTTATATTCGACATAACGATACGAGGAATGAAACATTAACGGAGTATTGAACACAGTAGTGAAGAAATCCCGAACTTAGCTCGATGCTAATAAACGGGCGTAAATAATTTTAAATGGACGTTTGGAAGAGCGCGTGAAATTGAATCGCTTGGCTTTTGGAATAAAATGAAGCGTAGTAAGCAACGACCGCCGCGCGTTTGGACGAGCGTAAGTGAAAATTCGCATTTCCGGCGGCGCGAGGAACAATGGTCCTGCCCTGGTGAAAGCATTCCCGGCCGAAAGTGCACAAGGGTCGTCGTTTCGCCCCTCTCTATTTTCGGTTTTCGCCCCGCCGTCACCCATGACGCGTGTCACTTACTTTCCTTGGTTCTAAACACCGCTATTGTTGACAACTTCCTCCGCAGTTGTCGTAACAGAGCACTTTTCCCCCCATTGCGGCCGCACTCTTCGTTGATTCATCCGTGATTTAATTATCCCCGTTATTCGGCAATATTTAAACGCCCCTCTATTTCGCCGGCACGTAACACGCATTAATGTAATCAATAAATACATTAATGTTATACACCGACGTATATTAATGAGATAATTTTCCAGCCATAATTTCCATTTGATTATGTTTCATTAAATCTGATTTGTCGTGGTTTAATTATCTCAATCTGACTTTTTCCCATTAAGAAAATATTTAATGACAAAATTAACATTATGGAACTTTTTTTCACGAAAATACCATAAATGTACGACGTACCGCATAAAACTGCATTTAACTAATTCATTTACTTACTGCACTGACAGAAAAAAAAATGGTTACAGTCACCACAATCTCACTACAACTTGTCATTTTAGGAGCCAATCACATTTTTATAGTACTTCCAACTACGTAAATTATGGTTGACCTAACAACGTATTAGAGTTCTCGTAGACACAATATTGCACTGAGAGAAAAGTGCGTAGTATTTGC